TGGCTGTCTGTAACCCCCTGCTCTACACAGTGGCTATGTCTCCTAAGCTCTGCGCTCTCCTGGTAGCAGGGACTTATATGTGGGGTGGACTCTGTTCTGTGACAATCACATATTCACTTCTGCGGCTGTCCTACTGTGAGTACATCATAAATCACTTTGCCTGTGAGTATTCTGCTCTCCTCTCTGTGTCCTGTTCAGACCTCTCCTTTACCCAGATGATATGCTTAATAATTTCTATAGTCAGTGAAGCCGGCAGCCTCCTGATCATCCTTGCCTCCTACGTGGTCATAGTTGTGACTATCATCAGGATGCCCTCCAAGGGTGGGCTCCAAAAGGCCTTCTCCACCTGCGCCTCCCACCTGACGGCCATCAGCATCTTCCACGGCATCATCCTCCTTCTCTACTGTGTGCCCAGCTCCAAGAGCTCCTGGCTCCTGGTCAAAGTGGCTACTGTGCTTTACACAGTCGTGGTCCCCATGCTGAATCCCCTCATCTACAGCCTCAGGAACAAGGATGTGAAAGACACGCTCAGGAGGCTAATCACCTCCAAACTGCATTCTCCACCCACATGATTCAAACCGATGTGTGTTTATTTACGTCTTAATTACATCTCACATTTTCATATACATTACTGTTGATACTTTAGCTTTCAATGGATTTATTATTGTATTGCAATCAGTTAAGATACTCAGAATGTGGTGGGTTTTGGTGTTTAGAATGACATTATATCCTATGGTTTGACACAAACATATTTGACTTTTATCCATATTGTCTGAGTTTTAGAATGAATTACAGTAAACTTTGCATTGTCAGTAATTTGTTCAGCACATGTTCTGCAACATGAGCAAATATTTCTAATAAATTTAAGTGGTTATACTGGCAATATGAGTAGTACATGACCCTGAACGTCAAATAATCAAAACTGAGCCAAAGGTTCTCCTCCCTTCTTCTAGCTCTGTCACTGTTTCTGTCTCTATCTCTCTGTCCCTCTCTCTCTCGCTCTCTCTCTCTCTCTCTCTCTCTCTCTCTCTCTCTCTGACTGTCTGTCTTTCCTGCTCTCTCTCTCTCCCCTTTCCTGGGATTGCGGCTGATCATCTCCCACACACAAGACATCATGGAGGAGATCTCATCTGCAGAAGAGGAGACGAAATCGGTGGAGGGATCCCTCACTTCAAAGGAGATTAGCGAGATATGCAACATGTGGGAAACAATGCAGAAAACTCTAGAAAAGCATCAACCAAATAAGGCTGTAGTAGTGTGAGTCATGATTCTGTTTCGTTTTGTTTTGGTTTTTCTCTGGTACGGGGAACCGAACTCACGACCTTGCGCTTGCCAGGCAGGCACTTTGCCACTGAGTTAAATACCCAGCCCCGATGATTCTGTTTAACCATACTGCAATGTCACATTTCTGTGAAATCTTCAAAGGAGCCAAAAGCAAGTGTCACTGGATAGAGTCTTGGTTAAAGTTACACAAAAGAAAGATTCCGCTCAGCCAACAGATTACAGTGATTCCCTTGGTGGTAGTTAAAGTCATCCCACACAATAACCCTCCTCTTTCTGGTCTCCCTCACACCAGGACTCACAGCAGCCATGAGGGTTTTCAAAGGTAGTGCACGCTAACTTCTTATTTTTCTTTCTTCTTTTGTATTATACTAAAGATTTGTAATAATTTTAAATAATATTTTTGAATTATGTGACAATTCATCCAAATTTATTTCTTATGGAGAAATCCACGTTGATACTAGGTTTGCTTTCAATTCCAAGCATGTTTCCCGAGTGAATTAGGCTCCTAAGCCATGGCTTTGCTGTGTATTTCAACATTTTTCTACTGGACACTATGAAGCAACAGTGAAAAATTCACCTCTTGTGGTTTAGCTTTACTTTGACGTGTGCTTAATGAAAGTTCAGCCAACACAGACGCTGCCTTTTTTGGAGTCATACTTTAGGTCACATATCTCAATGCATGTTTTGTTTCACCTCAATACTAGATTTCAAGTAGAACAAGGACCTTGGGTTTATCTTATGACAACTTGAGCTGAATTTAAGAAAAACCATTTAGAAAATATTACCTACTATCTATAGGCTTCACTCATTTTATTACATTTCAATAACAGCTGCTGGTAGAGTTCCATTCACTTGCCATAACACTCACGCTAACTACTGATGTGAGACCATAATTATGAAATTTTACTTTTAAATCGCACATCCTCCCTGGGAACTTATCTACTCCTTGCCAGTGTCTGACATTGTCTAGCTACTTTAACAAAGAAGCAACTCTTCTACACCTTCACTAGCTTCTCACAGATGTATCATTAAATCACGTTGTTTGCATCTCCAAAATCCACTATCTCTTCATGTTTCTGCTTCTGCTCAGTGAGCCATATAGGAAGGTAAGATTTCATAGTTAATACAGCACATACTTTCCCATCTTCCCTAAATGTCTGTAAGTAATTAATCACTGATCATCCATTTTAAATGTATTATTTATTTAACTCAATTACTGTTTTCTAATATATACAATAAATCATTTCACATATAATAATGTTCTGTTTGAATATTATATGTTATATAATATATATATATATATAAAATAAGCTTCTGAAAAGTGGGGATTGCTCTGAATCTCTGATGTCATCAGTTAAAATTTAAAATGCATTGTAAAGTACTTGTTAAATGAACATTTAACTCCCCCATATATGAATAGATACTAAATTACCACCCCCAAAAGTCTGTAAGGACCACTTTGCTCCCACTCTTGATAGCTAAAATAGGACTTTTACCTTATTAGACACTTATTTTTCTATAGATTTTGCTACCTAAAAATGAATACCACTCGTTTCCTATTTACAAGCTAATGCATTGCAATATTGTAGTATTTGTTCCATGTATCACACTTCATAATTTATCAGTGTGTTCACCTCATTGAAGCTGTTGCATATATTTCACAGTGACTTTAGTGTTGGTTCTGTTTACTATTTCATCATGTAAGTATTCCACAATTTTATACCTTAGTCTGACACTGAATTTTTAACTTCTGAGTAGAGTGCACATAGGTATTGTTGCAGAGCACATAATTACTCAGTAGAATGTGGTTTATATTTTGGACTATTGTGCATATATTGAACTCTCAATTTTTCAAAATTCTTTTATTAATTGAATCATTTAATAACAAAGTTGGAGAGTTCCAAAATTATGGTCTACTTCTCTCTTTAAAGCACTAAGAATTATGAGACCGTATGATTACTCATTATGGAATATTTCACAGTAGTTTAATTTGGATGTTTATGGTAATCAATCTGAGCCAGTCTAATATGTTCATGATTATGTATCTTTTCTGATAATTTTAGAACTGAGTTTTAAAATATTCATCATTTGTAATTACTTATGTAGAGTTGCAGATGATAAATGTAATCTTGATCATTCTATGTCATGCAAATGCTTTCATATTATCCTGCACTTTTCACTTAATATTCTTTGATGAAGAGCCAATTTAATGTCACCTTAATCTAATGCATTATTTTCTATGGCTTTACAATGGCTTATCCATATTTATCTATCCTTGTAGTCAGAGAGACAGTCTCCTCTGCTAAATTCAAGGTAGCATATTTTCTCTTCCTCTTTTTCTCAGTGAAGCATTTACATTCATCTTTGTAGAAGGTGCGAAGATTAGAACTCTGATAGTGTCCTACTGTTTGGAATTATTGTTTTCTTCTCCTTATCTTGTTTCTCTGAAGGCAGAAAGAGGATTTTCTCTGGGCAATGCAAAGTGAGTGAGTGTGTGGTGGGAGTTACTTCATGTAAGTAGCCTTAATGGCCTCCTCGTGGTTTGACCCTTTGCTCCTACACAAATAATGATTGACCTTGAAACTGTGTCCTGGAATTAGAATGCATGGATCTTGAGGCGAGCTGAGCCAATGCCAACCAAGCAGAGCAGCAGTCAGCACAAACACTCATGTAAGCCCTCATGAATATTGATTGTCAGCTATTCAAGGAAAAACAATTCTCCCTCCTGTTCTGAAATGCCAACTTGTCCATAGGTAAGTTGCCATGCATGTTCTTATGGCTGTCACGATAACCCACTGGCACAGTAAGCCTTTGAAACCATCAGCCAGATGGTTACATCCTGAGTTCAAGGCCAGTGTGCTGCAGAACAAGACCTGAGTATGAAAAAATAGTGCAAAATGTTAAAAGGAAAATAAACAAAATACACATATTAGAAAATAGGCTGGATCAAGGAAAACTGGGAAAAAAAAGAGAGAGAGAGAAAAACCGAAACATAGACAGACTTTAAAACTAAAATCCACTAAGAAATTCCCCATGTTGCCAGGCGTGGTGGCTCACGGCTGTAATCCCAGCACTGAGGAGTTGAGGCAGAAGGATCCTTGGAACTTCAAGGCCAGGCTAGGCTGCAAAGTGAGCTCAAGGCCAGCCTGAACTGCATAGTAAGTGCCTGTCTCCACAAAACAAAAAAGGCAAAAAGAAACAACAACAAAGAAATCCCCCACACTAAGGCCTTTCATGTAAAGAGGTAGAGTTCCTCAGAAATGGGAGGGGTAATGCCAAGCTTTGTGATTTTGTTACTTCCTCAGCTGTGTCAGACCCACAGGCTGTGGACAACATAACTCACTGGACCTGGAGGGAACGTGCTGACAGCCTGGGCTGCATTTCTTGGGGAAGGTCTAGTGCATGCACCCAGGACCAAGGCAATCTCCCGAGGGGCAGAAGCCCTCCTCTGCGCACAAGCTTCACTACACCACAGGGCATTCAGCTGCATTTAGCCCTTTCGTCTTGGCCTGCATCCATACTAAACAATCTCTAAACTAAAAAGGGAAAGCAAAGGGGAATATTAGCTATTGTTTGTCAACCTTTGATTCTGTTATGTTGAGGTTACAGGGATAGAAATGGCCATGATTTTGTTGCTGTGTTTTTCTTCCATGTTGTTCAGAAGTACAACCCTGTATAGAGGTAAACTGTCTTTTTACTGTTCCCTGAAGACATAAATATCAGAAAACCCTTGGTTTGGAAGAAATTGTATTTAAAGAAACAAAAGAAACATTACCGCTAATGCCTTGGTTCATAGATTATGACAACAAATAATTCTCCAGGGTCTAGTTCCCCAAAGCCAAACACTTCAATGTGAAACAAACAACATGGTCATAAATATAGTTTCAATGGCTGAATCTTCCACAAAGGCATCTCAAACTCACTCCAAAATTCTTGATCATTTGAAAAACTTTTAGTAGCCTTATATCTTCAATTCTGTTTGGCAAGAGTCACCTACTGCCTTTAAAAGAATGGGAAAGTTTTTAAGAAAATTTTAATTTTGAGGGAGATTGTGCATGTAGTTTACGAATACTGGCAAGGAAGTAATCCAGTTAAAATGTACAGCAGGTAATTCTGTCTTTTGGTGAGTACTTGCAATGCTCAGTGTATTTCATTCTCATATGATGTCTATTGGTATCTGGGAAAAGGTTTTGGAAGGAATAAGGATAGGTGAGCTGAAGTAGAGTAATGTCAACTCTATTCAGCTAATGGTGCTGGTTAAACATAACAAACTACTTTTAAGATCATTTTACTGAATTTGAAG